ATAATGGTGTCTGCTGTATCTTATGTGTCTTCCATGTGTCATATGATCTAACACAATTTACAGCCTTCTTAAAATTCAGACTCACTGGACAAGTCCTTCTTGAGCTTTACTGTTTTCCTTTATAAATAAAATAAAAATACTGGTTTTCCAGAGTATGGCAACTGAAACTCTTGATGATTAGCAGAAGACAGGCACTTCAATCTCTTACCGCTCAAGTGATTTATCCTCAGTATAACAGTCAGGGGCTATCTGTATAGTCTTTCTATATTATAGGACTTTAAAAAGAAGCTCCTTGACCCTCCCAGAGCTCAACTGAGCCATGGCTGCCTGTCTCCTTCAGAAGACTGCTCAGAGGACCTGGTAGGCCCTGCTCTGATCCCCTCACCCTCCTGGAGCTTGGTGAACCCTAGCTGCCTGCCCTGGCTCAGAAGACATCCACAGGGACCTGAAACCAGACACCCTGGAAGACTGCCTGAAAGATCTGTGGGGAACCTTGGTTAGCCCGATTCTGCAGCTACCCACAATCCAGAGAGCCTGGAAGAACTTCAGGCTGCAATCACCATCATGTAACTGTCTTGAGCTGTAGCTCACTACCCCCAGGTGGAAGCCACACTGAACCCACACAGCGGGAGCTTCGCTGAGTTTATCCCTCCCACTGTCCCGAGAGCCTTGCTCACCCGTACCGACCCCCACAATCCACCCCCCACCTCCCTACCATTGCTGTATAGTCTGGGAGAACACTGGGAGTTTCAAAAATGACAAAAGGAAGGAACAAAAGGCAATCTCAGGCCTCTAGACCATCCAAAACAATTCTAGGAGACAAGGTCGTGAAAGAACTTGAAAGTCACACACCTGAGACGTCTGAGATGATAGCACCTGAGGGAGGTAAAGAAATAACTCCATCAGGCTACGGAGGAAATCAGATCAGAAATAATCTCTCAGGTAAAAAAGAAAATGACAATGATCATGAAAGAATTATTCAATACATCTATAGAAGACAGATTAAAAAATAGAGGAGAATAGAAAAATGATGGAAACATTGAATGAATAATACAGGAAAGAACTAGAATGCATGAAACAGATTCCAACAGATACTCAGGATATTAAGAATTCCATCAAAAGCTGACAAACAGGCTGAATGAAACAAAAGACAGAATTTCAGACCTTGAAGACAGCATTGTAGCTAGTGAACGTGAAAGGAAGCATCTCTTAAAAATAACAAGGAAGCAGGAAATAACAGCTGCAAGGTGATGCAAAGAAAAACAACACAAGACTAATAGGTATTAATGAAACAGCTGGAGTTAACACAAATGACACAAACAGGAGCTTCTCTCCCACTGGGCACAATGGATTGAAATGTGGTGGTGCTAAGGGTGTGGGAATTGTTCTCTCCATTCGTTATAATGGTGACCTTAGAGATACTTGGCTCTTGAAGGTGTTTTGGAGGTTAAAGAAAAGCAACAGTAAATAGCCAGTGCCTGCCTACTGCAGGTTACACGAGGTACGATGGGCACTATTCTACATTCCACTGGTTCTTGTGTGTTTGCGGATATAAGAATCATTTGGATAGGTTGGACAAAATGCAAATTATTCCAGGTCTCAGCCTCAGACATTCTGGGTTGGTAGCAAAATTTCTATTTTAACCAAACTTGGGGAATGGCTCTTCCTGCTCCAGTGAACCTACTCTTAATGATTTCCAAGAATGGGTTAACAACAGCATCCTCTCCTCATTGTCTTGACGTTTTTGTAGCTTCGACTACTGCTAGCCATGTCTTCTCTTGACCACTCTTTTCATTCTTCTTTGCCTGATCCTGATCCTTAAATAAAACCATTCCCTGAAGACCAGTGCTCAGCTATCTCTTCTTTTTTTCTCAATAAGCCCTACTATGAGGCACCACTTATACTCACCTATGCAGGTTACTGCTGTGGAGATATTTTTCAAGGGGAATCAAAATCTAGGTACTCTTTCTTTCAGGCCACACATTTTTTTTTTTTTTTTTTCGGAACCAGGGATTGAACTCAGACCTTTGCGCTTGCCAGGGAAGCGCTTATTCTACTGAGCCATCTCACCAGCCCCTGGCCACACATTTCTCATTGCCATTCATTCGCCTCCCAGGCTCCTTTAACTGTATGGCTAACAGTTTCTATTCTTCCTGTGTACACACATATGAAATCAGAAGCTTAGCCACCATTCATTCTCAGGGACAGGCAGTAGTCTTCTCCTGACTCTTACAACATCAAAGGAACTGCCCACTCCTGATGCAATCTCTAAAAAATTCCTATGGCTTTTTATGCTTTTGCTGCTTTTCTAATTAAGCCTTTCTAAATTTCACCAATTCCTTCCTAAGTGGCTAACTATTCTCTCTCATCTACAAGATCCTAAAAAAGCCACCAGGATAATGTACTCAGGTGCTTCCCTGAGTAGAACACCTGTCTGGCAGTGTCACACAAAGCCCGCAGCAGCTCCCAGAGGTCCTGCATTTCTGTTGTTCACATCATTGACTGCAATGACCACCTGGTCTCCTTCCCAAATACTACTTCTGCTGCTCTGTCATCCTTCAAGATCCAACTCAAGAGTAACCGTGAATTCCTAGATTGAACACAAAGTAGGCACTATAAGAGATTAACCAGGGACATGTCCTCACCTAGTGTTACTTGATTTTATTAAATAGCACTGAAGAATATTATGTGACTATCGTGTATTTGCATTTAAATATTAATGCATTAAACAGAGGCTTGACTATCTTCGATAAACAGCTTCAAAATACTAACACTATTAGTCATTACTATAGCAACCACATACAAAGCACCTATCGTGTATTTATTTTTTCTTTCTTTCTTTTGCAGTGCTGGGGATCAAACTTGGAACCTTGTGCTTGCCAGGCAGGTGCTTACACTGCTGAGCCATATCCCTGGCCCCTTATCATGTATTTCAAGTACATTATTATGCATGTTCACAACCATTTGGTAAGCTCAGAATAACACCGAATATACAGGTGAGTGGACATCAAGTTTATGCTGACACGTATTAAAAGTTGATTCAGAAAATTTAGATGGACAAGCATATAAAAATGTTAAAGTTGACTGTTGAACATCTGAATATCGATTCTATGACTGCTTTCTAAATAGCTTATTTCCTTGTGACTCCGCAGGCTGCTCTTTCTGACTACGGCACAGCTGGGACTCTCCCTGTGGACACCCTGCCTAGACTCAAGCAGACCGAGTTGTTCAGGAAAAAAATACATCCATACTGAAGATGTTTCCTAAAGAAATTTCCTAAAGAAATACACAATAGGGAGCCAGGGATACGGCTCAGCAGCATAAGCACCTGCCTGAAAAACTTTCCTAAGGAAAACAGTTGCAACTATTTATACAGCATTTATATTAGGTATTACTCATAATCTAGAGATGATTAAATAGGTAGGAGGGTGTACGTAGGTGATATTTGCTATGCCATATTTCTAGAAGCGAATTTAACATGTGTGGATTTTTGTATCTTGGGGACAGCTGGTTTCAGAACCAGTCTCCACGAATACCCAAAGAGGACTCTTCTTGAGTTTTTACCTACAGATGCTAACCACAACGGCAAGCGCATGCTACAGCTTGACTGTTGGCGCTGAAAACCGAAAGCTTCACCATCGTGGCTCCAGAGCTTCCTCGTAAAAGGGCTCCACCTAGTGGAGCAATCCGCCACACAGTGGTGACCAAGGTTGAACCCCGCAGTCGGCTCTGATATACCAAGGGCTCCTTTCCTCATGCCTTGATGAAAAGAAGGAATAGCACAAGGCTGTGGATGGTGGCCAGGCGCACAGAGGGAGCGTTAGGACTGACTGCACGGAATAAAAGCATGACAATCACCATCACCCTGGTGATGCCACTGTGACTCTGCTCTGTGGAGTTGAAACAACAAAATATACCAGAATCACTGGAGACAACAACAACTAAAACCGAAAGGGCCGCCTCAGGCTTTGGATTTAGCTAAGCGACTGCGATCCCTATTCCTGCATATGTCCAGTACTACTGAATGCATGCTTATGAGGAAAGCCTACATATTTTCCTAAGGTTGGCAGGACTTCTTTGAGAAGAGCCACGCAGAAATCACTACATGACCTGTGATTCCCACTTCCTGGACTTCATCATTCACACATGGAAGACAAACGCAGCCAAAGGAAACGTCCTGTCTGTGCTGCAAGCCTCTCACGTGCTCTCTCATCAGGCACCTGCTGAGGGCCACTCTAATTTTAGAAAAGCTCCCCCTTCATGAAATTCTGTTACGCAGACTAAAAGCAAAAGGCCATTATAGCTAGAAGAGTCGAAGAGGAAGAAGAATGCAGGCATTTAAGAAAGAAGAGCCCTCGTAGCAGCAGGCTGCAGCAACTCACACCCTTTCTTGATGAACACAAACTCTAGAAGCCCTGCTAAGGCCCTCCAGCAGCTGGCTCCAGCATGCCTCAGCAGTCCTTGAGAATAACCAGTTTCAATAAAAGCCCATGAAGATTTTTGCAGGGAAGCCTAATGTAACATTTAGAAGCCAAGAATATTCTTTTGAAGATGGTCCCCCAAATGACTGTCATTAAAGATGGGCACAGTTACGCCAAGTTCTGTCTTTTAGGAAATCTGTTTAGAATTGGCCTTTTGCAAAAGATTTTAGCAAAGCAGGCCCCACTGTGACAACCTGCGGTGCTGAATGCTACTGCAGAGGCGACTCCACATAAAGGGCCATGTGCCTATGTCTGCAAAGCTGGGGACACAGCTGTTACAAATACTGTCATGAGCTGGGTGTGGCAGCACACACCTATACTCAATCTCCTCAGGACTGCTGAGGCAGGAGACCACCAGTTCAGACCAGCCTCACTCTGCAGAGGGTTCAAAGCCACCCTGAACTACGCAGCAAGATTCTATCTCAAAACAAACAAATGAACATTCTGCCATGTCAACACAAAACACTGTCAACACTGTGAGTTATTTTTTTAGTGCTTCTGAAGTTTTTGAGGACTTACCGCCCAGAAGATACTGGCTTAAGTGAACCAACATTTTCAAATAGTTGGGCCTTTGCTGCCACTCTGAAAAATAATTTTAAATATATGTTTCAGGAATTCAGTCAGAAAATCATTCTGCTTAATGTGGAATTCAAGAATATCATTTAAACAAAACGAAAAGATTACAGAGCCACACCAGAATAGGAACCAAATTTTGTTTTAAGCTTTCATGTGAAGTGGATTTTAGCTCTCGCCTCTAGCTCAACAATTACCAGACTGTAATCAAGTTGGAGCTACCTCTTGCAGGGACCGTAACTATCTTCATCCTTTTTACTTCAGAGAGCTCAGGGAACAGGAAAAAGAACATTTCCTACCCACTCTGCTCCCAGCAGGCAGCATGTTATTGACTCCTGAGGCTCCACAAGGGAAGGATCAAAGAATAAAATCAACAGGACTGAAGAGGAACTGCTGCTCATTCCCACGCTAAAAATCCCCTCATACTCGCATGATTCCATGTGGACTTAAACTGTGAAATACTTTCTGTAACATGCAGAGCATAAACTCTACAAGTTTTCTAATAACTTCTGGATTCAACTTTTTCTTCAAGTCATGGAGTATGTGTGTGTGGTGAGGAAATATTTCATGTGAAAACATGAGGCTTTTGCATGCAAAATGAAAACCACAAACAAGAGGGACCCTCAGTGATGACATATTTGTTTACCAGAAGAGAAAATCAAGTTCCTTGAACATTGTTCTATTTGAATTCAACTTTAAAATAATCTGTTATTCTTTAATCCACAAGTTCTTCTCACAGGGCCAAGCCATTTGATAATCATAATGACCATTTTAAACCTGATGCAGAACACACTCCCTCGTTTTAATTTCTACTTTAACTGGCAGTGCAAGCACGGGACAGAAGCTCTTCTCTTTCCTCTGCAAGAATGCAGTTTATATTGTCACATCTTCCCTAGGACATGACTTAAAACTTAAATTCCTGCAGTGGTCAAAGCCATGCCCTCTGAGGAGTACAAAGATTTATGAATATATCTTTCTATACCACTGTAACTGGTTTTTTGATCTACAGAGGTACTGATGTTGAACTCTGTAACTAAAAGGTTAAGAAAAGGATGGATAAATGAATTTAAGACTTTATTCCTATGGAATAGGCTTAGTAAAATGCTGAGCCTGACTTTTTACAAACAATAAAAAGTCAGGAATGCCACTATATTAAAAATGGGTGTGCCACACAGAATTGAAATTAGAGAACCTTGAGTTGGTATTTTACCACTGCCACATACTAGCTGAGAATATGGGGACTAATTTGTTAAACTTTCTAAAGATCACTTCATATCATTTCTAGAAAGATTTTAAATTATCTGCTTTGGAAGGGTCCTGGGGGATTAAGAGGGGCAGTACATCTACAGAAGCCCTATGACAGCTTACGCAGCACGAGCAAATGTCCGGCAATTGTCAGAGCACAATACAAAAGGGAGAAGAAGCCTTCCTTCCGGCGTTTGCCTGATGTGTTCATCCTGGTTCCCACTTCTTCCTCTCTCTCTCTCTCTTTCTGACCATGTCTATCAGCCTTTACACTTGTGGTAATTGGTTTCGATTAAAAGTACTCTTTCCTCCTTGCCTCTCATGTTCCTTGTTATCTAGGAGCTTATTTGAATCATGGAGCACCAAGGGAGGGGAGAAATAGAACAGAGAAAAGAAAAAACACCCCTCCCAAGCTAGAGAGCCACTGCCTTGCCTCTGAGAGTGGGGAACCGGGACATGGAGGCACAGCTTCCACAGGGACGCATCTGGGTCCCGAGCCTGTGACTGCTACAGCACACATCTGCCCTCTAGGTCCTCATGCCACAGCTCCACACGGGGGGGAGGGGGGGCACATACTTGAAGTGATGCCCATGAGACTGTTTATGTACCCTAAGCTCCAGTGACCTTTACATCTTTTCTAGAAGAAGGAAGAGTCCCACAGAAGTTGAGTTTCTGCACTCTACTGAGGAAGTTCTTAGGTATGGAAGTCCCAATGTGCGTTTGAGCAGACTCAATGCCTGTGCATCCCGAGACACACAAATGCAAACGCGTGCCACTTACACCGAGCCAGGTCGCTGATAGCCATTGCTCGAGGCAGTGTCCAGCCTTAACCTCCTGCACATTTTTGGAGGAAGTTCTGGGTTTGGCGTGGCTTTGGATGTCTCTTTGGAGCCTACAGAAGTTAAGCTTTGAATAGATCCACTGTAGCTCTTGTTTCCTGAAAAGCAGGCCCAAGAAAACAGATGAGGTGCTATTAGACAAAATCAGAGCACTAATACAGAACACGTGCATAGCAAAAGCAGCATTTTTCGTGGAGACTAAATGCCAAGGTTCTGAATGTCCTTTGGGCACAGCAGCCTGTCACGCAGGGAGACACAGATCTACCGCAATCACAAAGCACCACCTTCCAGGGATGGAAAGTTAGGAAAAAGTCATGATGCAGAAGAGCTGTAAAATCCAAGCTTGGGAACAAAGTAGAGGAGCATACTTAAATCGCTTCTATTACTTTATCTGCACTTAACCATGCTGAAAAGCCCAGCAAATGGCATTAAGACAACGACCTTATGTGCAAGCTCCATTCTGGTTTACCTTCAGAAGCAGAGATAGACTTGAGGGAGGAAGCAGAGGTTCTTTTTAGTCCCGACAGCCCATAAGGTTCCTTTGTGACTAGGTCTATAGGAGGGGACACATCCCCTGGGCCAGCGATGGAGGCGACACTTTGGCAGTCCGACTCTGCATCTGTTCTGGTTGCATCTTCTCGGGAACTTGATTCAGGACTTGTGGTCCAGAGACCAAGACTTTTCTGTCCATTGGAAGAGGATGGGGTCGCGATCCAAGGAATCCCTCCGGACTTTTCTCTGGGCTGGCAGGAAGTTGACTTGGTAGTGCTATTTCGTTCCGAAGAGTGAGAGGACAGCGACTCAATGCTGCCCATGGGCGTGCTGTCTGGGCTGCTGCTGTAGGAGTCACCTGAGGAGGAGCAGGAGGGAGACAGAAGCTAGGCCGCTAGCTGCTGCCCAGTGTCACGCGCACCCACCTCTGGGCCACCTAAGCGCAGATAGGGGTGGCCTTTACCTGTGGTGGAGAACTGTCCACAATGCTGGCAAAAGGCCTCGCAATATGCATTTGCACTCATTATTCTAGAAGGGTGTTACACAGTCCCAAGAACTGTCCCTAGGTAACAATTTTACTCCTGGAAACATTAGTGGGCTGAACGGGGGTCAGAAAAATCTGTCTCCTGAACTAGGATTAGAAGAGAAAAAGGATTCCTTCATGACATCGCAGGAAATCAGTGGAAGACCTGTGTCCACCTCTCCTACTTTTTGCGTCACAGCTACTTTGGGGGCGCAGTGTGCTTGAGCCCTCCTTCACTCAGCCACAAGTTACGTGCTGCTACAATCTTCAAAGAAAAGTTTTTTTTTTTTTTTTTTTTTTTTTTTTTTTTTTTTCCTGCTAAGAATACAGCAACATAAGAAACTGGCTATCAGGGCTGGGAAGATAGCTCAGTAGAGTAAGTGCTGGTCTGGCAAGTGCAAGATCCTGAGTTCAATACCCGGTACTGGGAAAAAAAAAAACCCAAAAAACAAAAACAAAAAACTGGCTATCTCAGTAGGATTACTTTTTAAATGTTCTAAAAAAAAAAAAGTAAATGAAATAATCATAGAAACCATAATAAAGCTTTCAGATATAACTGAATTAAAAATGATTATTTTGGGGGTTTTTTTGTACCAGGGATCAAACTCAGGACCTTGCACTTGCCAGGCAGGTGCTTATGCCGCTAAGCTACCCCCCAGCCAAATATTCTTAGATAGTTTTGCATTAACTATCTGTGGTAAAAGACCTGAGTACATGGAACAAGAATGACCACAGTTCAGGGTGTGCTGGGGACTCACGTCACTCCAGGCTCAGCTTGCCTACGGATAGGAGTTAATGGTAAGGGGTGGTGCCAGTTTTCTTTCTGACTTTTCTCTTTCAGACACTTTGACATAAATGAGCTTTAAGAACACAACGTGAAAGGCAGAACACGACTGCTTCTGTCAGACTCAGGCCGGTGCTTCTCATCTACCACTCTGACAACAGGACACAACCTGCTACCACGCAGCACCCCACGGCCTGCATCACCGCTGCAGAGGAAGCAGATGGAACTCCTTCAGCGTGCCAGTGACGGCTGGGCTTACCTAGGAACCTCACGGCTCTCCTGACACTGAATGGGTCACGTTCAGGGAAGAGGAGCTGGGCACAGGGCATCTGCGCCGTCACTTGCTACTTCTCCCCTGTTACTAATGACATGGGGTCAGGGCGAAATGCACGACGAAGACAGCGTCTCCCGAGAGCAGGCCAGGCACACTTACTGTCGGGCTCCGCGAGGCACGGCGTGTACCGCCCCCGGGGTTTCCGGGAGCCGGTGGACAGGCAGATTGCGCGGGTCCTTCGGGAGCCAGATCGACTCTGAGGCTGCGGGAGGGGAATGTTGGGGTCGGGAGCCGTGTGAAAAATCTACATGGAGGAAAAACGGACCGAAGTCAATTACGGGCAAAACTGTCATGTACATCATAAAATATGCTTTCAAGTTCTTACGTAATTTCAGAATTGCCAGGTATGCTTGATGCAAAAAAAATCAAAGTCCTACAGCCATTAAACAACTTTCTTTACCACTTAACAGGTAATGTCTCCTCATTAGCTTTTCTTTCCTAATCTTCTCAAATCCGCATCCACAAAATGCGGAAGCCCTTCCAATAACTCCACGACGCCTTCCACACAAGCACAGAGGCCTACGAGAGACCTGCTGGTTCTCTGCCCTGCCCTATTCTCATTCTCCTTTAGCTCGGAGGAACACACGTGTGCGCACAGCCCTTTCCCAAGGCTCGGCCTTTGCAGCAGGCAACCTCACTACCGCTGGGGCTGAGCTGTCGGGAAACGCGCCCAGCTGCAGGCGGACGAGGGCAGCCCCTGGGCGACGAGGGCAGCCCCTGGACGAGGAGGGCAGCCCCTGGACGAGGAGGGCAGCCCCTGGGCGACGAGGGCAGCCCCTGGGCGAGGAGGGCAGCCCCTGGGCGACGAGGGCAGCCCCTGGGCGACGAGGGCAGCCCCTGGACGAGGAGGGCAGCCCCTAGAAGAGGAGGGCAGCCCCTGGGCGACGAGGGCAGCCCCTGGGCGACGAGGGCAGCCCCTGGGCGACGAGGGCAGCCCCTGGGCGAGAAGGGCAACCCCTGGGCGCGGCAGGCGAGCAAGGCGGGCCCAGCGCCCCCCATGGGGAGGGCGCCCCCTGGGGCGGGAGGGGCTTCCTCGCACAGAGCAGCCCCCACACGTGGATTCACACAGTGAGGCCCTAGAGGCCTGTGTGTCTAATCATCTAAACAACGTGGCTTCCGGCTTCCCATTTCCAGCTAATACAAGGCCTTACTCTTCTAAGGAAAACCCCCGAGGGTTAGAGAAAGAGGGGCCCTCAAGACTTTGATCTCTTGAATTTTTCATTAGTTAGAAATATCATCTCTGCTATATAAATTGAATCTAATTCCAGAAGAATATGGAGAAAAGGTTAAAAAAGATTTAAACCATAAAGTGATTTTATTTTGTTTTATTTTGGTGCTGGTAACTGAACTCAGGACCTTGCAGTTGCCAGGCTGGTGCTTGTGCCACTGAGCTATGTCCCTGGCCCCCACAACGTGATTTTTAAAGTGCTTTTTGGGTGAGTAATAACTGCACAAATGCTAAAGAAAACAAATGGTATGTAAAGTAAATGATATAAAAGGAAAGGGAAGAGGCCACCTGAAGAACGTGCAGAAGCATTTAACCAAATAACAACAAAAGCTTTCAAAGTCCTTAGGAAGAAGTAATTTTGCCAAAACTGATAGATATTTTACAGAGATCTGACATAACAATGTAGAGCCCACTAATAATACAAATGCAGAATTCCTTTTCAAAAGCAACACGAAATTCTGACGTTTGTATATGAAAAGCCAGCCTACCTTTTCATAATGCTCTATCAGGATTTCAACCACTATGTTCTGAAATTTAATATTCATCATGGCAGCCACTGTTTCTTCCTGTGCTCGCATCAGAGTTGGGCCAAATATGACACCAAGATTTGAGACAGTCATGAGGTTCTGTTGGCTGTGCAGGGACACTCTGCCAATAAGGGACAAAAATAAATTTGACAATTACTTAATATGTTTTTCTATCAAACTTGTGGCATAAAAATGTAAGAAGATACATCTGCCATTATAGGCTAATTTTCTCAGTTTTGATTATTCCTACTGTAATAGCCCAAAAGATGTAACATGCTCTTAAAAATTATACAATATATGTTATATATACATATATGTGTGCTATAAAATATAATCAGTTGACTGAGCTATTTCTAGAACTTAGTACCTTTACCTAACTAGATTTGTCACTCCTTATTTGTCCTCCTACTATCCCCAACTCCACCCTAGACTCCTAACACAAAGGCATGAAAAAGGTTTAAGGAGATGTAAATGCTAATTATCTTGATTTTTAAAACATATATGTATTGAATTATTAAATTATATCATAAATAAATGCAATGTATCATGTGCTATCTAAAATTTTTAAAAAGATGTAAAAAGTTAAACATGTGCCCAAATATGACTAATAAGGCCAAAGATTAACCTACTGGAAAGAATCTGAACTTGTTTAATATTGCCAGGTATTTCATTCTTCTAGAACTCCTGGCTAAGTGTAGGCTAGAGGCCATTTTATTGGGATTGAAGCATGCCACTGGGAAGCCAGGCGCAGGTGTCTTCAGACATATGCTGCAGCTAACTATCACAGTGAGTTTGTTATGTCTACTGTACAGGAAAGAATAACAGCAACTGCAGCAGAGAGTGATGTACTGCATTCATGTCAGTTGGGAAGAGAGGCACTGCTTCCATTCAGGTCTCTTGACCATAAGCCCCGTTTCCTAGAACTCCCCGGGCACATTACGGGCCAACATGCGGGCTGGTTCTTTCTCTTTTCCTATTTTCTTCCATCTAAAACATCCCTGAATGCTGCCCTGGTGGGGGGTAGTGTACAGGGCAAGTAGGATAAACAGACATGGCAGCATCACTGTTGGCTTACAGATGAAATGAAAATCCTCTAATGTCACTGACCAGAGCAAAGTATACCTAGAAATTTCGAAGACTTCGATGACTTCACTAGTTCAATGCAGAAATCTGATGTATTATTATGAAGAAATCTTACTCATTTACATAACTTTCTGCTACTAAAAACAAAAGTTTCTGTATTATTACTGCCTGGGTATTAGGGTATAAAGTTTTAGGAAACAATGTAACACGAGGTATGAAAAGGGTTTAACTTAACAGCTAAATATATAGTCAAATGAGTAATACAAGTTGAGAGAATTACTTGACCAGGTGCTTTATCAAGATGTCCAGCATCTCTCTGTTTTTCTCGGGCAGCTTGTGCACCAACGCATGTACAGCCTCCACCCTGTAGTTCTGGTCGTCCGATTCTAGCATGTAGAGAAAATGGTGCAAATGCTCAAGTTTTAACTGCACTCAAATGAGCACGCACACATTCGCACATACAACCATCTTAGCTGCCCCTACTTTTATGCTCCATGTAGCATGATTACCATCAATCCCGAAGGCTTAGAGACACTACACAACTTGTCCACACATGCAGTCAGGGATCAGAAAGCCAAAACATCCAGTATGCAATTCTACACATGTGTTCTTAATCAATGAATTATATACTTCCATACAGCCATAGCTCATTATCTGCTTGGATTTTAAAACCAAAGATAGAAAAGAAGCAGCAGAAATGTAAACTTCAACAACTGGAGTCTCTCTGATGGGCCAGGCACTGTATTAAATAGAGTGATATTTATATTATCTGGTACTATTCACAGTATCATATAGAAACCTAGAGGTGCAATGCACACAGCCAGTGCAAGCAGCATTCCTCCCCTTAATTTAGAGGTTGTGAGCGGGGCTTTGCTGCAGTAAATACAGGCCCAGTAGATTGTAGATCCACACTGATAATGGTAAATCTGAAATGGGGGAAATCACCTAGCCTAGCCAAGGCCAGTCCTGCCAAGCAAAAGCTAAGGTACTAACGTACATGCCAGAGAAATGTCTCGCACAGCGGAAGAAATTGTAACAATCTCTTATTGTGGTTGTCCGCTTTGCGAAGCCCTTTCCCCAGAAACAACCCCAACTCACACATCTACACTGTGAGGCCACTTTCTCTTTGGGGCCAGTTGTTTCGACCTAAAGTGGAGAATGACCTGGCCCAGACTAAATAAAAGGTTTCTTCCAAGAGTTCTTCCAGTTTTGGAGACATCAACACTCTGACTGATCTGCTCAGTACGTGGAAAGGGAGATTGTGTAAAGCCAGGGCAGGGGTGGCCAAATGTACTCCAGGAAACTGACTAGAGAGGGAGAAGAGAATGAGGAAGAAATACAACAAAGTGCAGAGGTGACAGATGGGGTAGAAAGTCTGAGGAGAAGTACGGCTTGCATATCCTGGGCACAGGCTCATGGACAGCCTGACATTTCTCTGTACAGAATTCAGGGAGACCCTTCTTGGGCTGGCAATAACCTGCCCTTTTTTTACTGGTAGGATTTCTCTTGCTTCTACCAAATAACCTACTTTTATTGACTAACTTCATTTTGGTTCTAATAAACAAGAACATCCCTGACACAGATAAAAGGTAAATTCTTAAAAATTCTCGATCCTCAATAATAATGTTGGTCTGTGATCACTTATAGAAATAGAGATATGATACAAAAGCCTAATGTCCCAAGGGATCAAGGAGCAATAGACAGAGCCCAAGGAGAGCTGCTGGCTCTCACTGGTAAATCCTGGAAAGCTGGGATTGAAGGCTGTAGATAGCAGCTTTTCCTTCTGGCACCCTGTTCTTTGATCCCTTGCTTGGGATGTTATCAGCTAGCATTTGTGTGAACCTAGTGTTAGGCAAATGGTGGAAGTCAACAGAGATAGTAGTTTGTGTTCATTTAAGTAATTACACACATTCTGTAGCCTGCCTAAATGTGAGATGCTTCTGAGGCTCTGGGCTCACTTGGAGAGCAACTAATCTCAGTGAGACCTCTGAAGCTATATTTATCAGGTCTTCTCATTGTTTCTTTCAGCACCAAGCCATAACATAACAATCACTATATGTCACAAGAAGAAGTAGGCGTTTAGTGTATCATGTGATTGGCCATGAACACTGAGTTGCAAACCAAGAGCATTCAACTTTATCAGACACTATCATCAGTAGATACTTCCTGAGACATTACAATGTGTGTGGGAGGCTCAATAACTCCAGGCCTCCAATCCTATTGCAAGTGGGCTTCCAAGTTCCTCTTCCCCTACCTCTGCTGAGCTAAGCTCCTAATTCTTCTTACCCCGCCTATTTCCCAAAAGTCTCCTGCTATGCCCCGGAGGTGGGACTTCCTGTCATAGCCCGGTTGCCTAGTTACTCGCCCCTTTTACCCGCCGAGGTCATTTCCCTACGCCTCCACTATATATACCCAGCACCTCCCCTAAATAAACGAGACTTGATCAGAATCCTGTCTTGTCTCCATTTCTCGCGTCTCCTGTCCTTTGTCCCCTCCTCAATTCCCCGCTCCTCTCCCAGGTGACCTTTGTTGACTGACCCGCTGGCTTGGGACAAATGTGTGGAAATAAAACTCACACAACTGATTTTTTTTTCCTTGGGCCATGAAAAACACTCTTAGTTACAGTCACACCTCATATAACTTTAGAGCACCATGCACCTCCCATCAGCTGCACGCTGCAGAGCGTGCTGTCCTGGCCATCCGGCACTCGAGGCTCAGTGGGTGAAAACTGCGTGGGACTAACATGGTTCTTGCTGTTTTCCCCTCGATTTTTCAATGAAATCCATCAAACTATGTCATAATGCAGTCACAGACCTACACATAAATATCCGATCACCACAAGTAAATAAAATATAAGGAAAAGGAGCAGGTGAAGTATGTGGTCAAAACCATTCTACTCACCTTTGGAGCTTCAGCCTGCAGCGTGAGCACACACAGCAGTACAGCTGTCTGTACACAGCCACGACTGTTTAGTCATGAACTTATTCTTATAAGAAGTTGGTGTTAACTGCTCAAAGCTCTTTCTAATCACATAGACCTATTATCACAATAAGGTCATACTGAGTGACAAGATATTTAGCTCTATTTATAATTTATATTGGCTTAAAAACCAGTGTATACTATTAAGTATGGCATAATATGTAAGTGGTAATGTATTAAAAAGTAAGCTAGATTAAAACTTGCGTGTCTACTCTTGTATGACAAGCTACGTGCGCTGCGTGCGCGGCGGGCGTGTACTTACTAACAGCGACAATGAAGTCTTTGTGGAGCTTGTACGTCATCAGCGGCTCCGCGAGGCACCTGCACAGAAGCAACGGAATTCAGAAGGCAATACTTCCCTGCACACTGTCAGGGCTTTGCTAAGAACGTGGTGACTGTTTTCTGTCATTAAAAATCAAATAATACATATAAAAACTGGGTGATTATGCAGTCTATGCCCTGCAGCGGGCTCCGGGTAGTCCTGAAGTGCACACTTCCAGGGCGCTGATGGCCCTTTGCACCGGCTGCCAGACTGCATCAGGGGATCTGAGACAAGAACAAAGCCACTCTCAGATAGGGGGACAGTGACTTGAAAAGAAAAACAAAAAAACTAAAACTTCTTCAATTTATTTGAAAGATGCACTAAACCCTAACATACAAATTCAACACAAAACAAAAATTACTAATTCTTGTCAAAAAATGTTGCAGCCTTTCATGATATCGCTGGCAAAGCAGACTCCAGAATGCTCAGGTAACAGTGTAGCCGTGCGCACGTCCACCTGCACGAGGCTGGAGCTAAGTAAGGAGTCTGTGCGCCCTCTGAGGGGCCACATGGCCATGGCTGCGAGGGCGGCAACACAGCACATCCAGGGACCAGGGCCGAACCCCCTTACCTGAGGTAGTTTTTCAGCCCGCTAGTGATGGTCTTGTTGTCCCACAGCTCAATATCAATGTCGATATCAGGAGGAGATTTAGGGGCTGGAAAGAATAAAACAGGTGCATAAACTACAATTCAAAGCATTCCCTGTGTCACATGAAAATGAATACCAACTAAGGAGGCTCAAAGAGAGACACATTTGCTTTCTCAGATGACAAAGAGTTAGCTGTAGGACTATTCTTCGGGTGAGCTGGTAAGAAACTCGCTTTCCCGGTGAGCCTCCATGGTGCTGGGTGGAATGAGACTCCCAAAGCGACTCCCCGCTCCTGGCTAATGTGGCAGTGCTTAACACGTAGCTGGCAGTGGCTAGAAGGCTCTATGTCGTCTGCATGCATTACCAGGTGCTGTGCTCCCCCCACTTTCCACGTGAGCAAGCTGAGACAGAGGTTAAGCACATTATGAAAGCCCCTAAAACTTTTCATTGGACAAACTGGGATTCTGAGCCCAGCAATCTGCCTCCAGTATTCATGCATCTTATTCTCTCTTTAGCTAATCAAAGGACATTGGAGGAAAAATGCCAGTGTTACAAAAATGCCTCTCCCAAATCGGATTATTTATTACAGATGAACAACCATAACGAATCTGAGGGGAGGTGTGTAGCTCCGTGGTGCAGCCCCTGCTTGGTGTGAGCTGGGATCTCTGTGCTAACCCAGCACAAACCTCCACCATACACCCAAATAACTGAATGCAAACATTAATGGAAAACATTATTTGAAAATATTCACAGATAAGCAATCATTTATATTTCAAATCTACAGTTTGGTTGACCAATCAAAACATAAACATTAATCAACTTATTTCATCTAAAACTTACAGAATGTGGTGGTCATAAGTTTCTGAACCTTAGAGTTCACTCCTCCTATTCGGTACAGCCCTAAAATGGTGATGCCTAATGGGAAGGAGAAATCACAGGAAAATGGATTGAGACCCAGCTTCCTTGAGACAGAAGGTCAGAAAATCAGGCAACACCTATACAAAATTGAAGAGCTACTTATCCAATTTTACGGTCTAACCTTAGCAAATCTGTCCTGGAAAATGCACCTATCAGACACTTTTCTCAGAGCAGACACTGAACAGTCCCCTGAGAGTCTCTGAAGATGCTCAAAGTAGCCAAGTATCCCTGTCTTGCCACCACCTCTGAATATAGGAAGCATCAGTAACAAGGGAGTTGACCTAGTTTCTCATCTGCTTCCAAGGTGCTGACTCCTATGTGCTGAGCAGTCCTGTTATGTTTATCTCTTCATTTGGAAGGCAAGGAAACAGATGCAGAGATTTCAAGGAACCTACTTAACCACTCAGAACTTCTAAGCGGCAGCCCCAGAATTCGAATGTGTTCACAGACCTCCAAAGCTCAAGGTGAAGTTTGTTTTAGACAGGTTTTGGTGGAAACGAATGCATCTAACAACTAATGGGGCTGAGCTTCCAGAGAGGCCATCATTAGAATACGATCAGCAGTGGTTGAGGTCATTAAACAAAAGACAAGAGGGCAGAAAGGTGGCTGAGGACAAGCTCCGAAAGCCTCGCCTCTCGCTGACCGGCACATCACAAAGGGAACTCACATATTTACTGGTATAGCTACATAACTCATACCTTCACACCAAGCTTAAAATTAATCTCATGCGAAGGTCACAACATGTACTTTCTTTTCTTATCTTTGTTTTGAGACATGGTCTAGCTATGTAGCAGCTCAGGCTGTCTGACTTCACAGTGATCCTCGTGGATCAACCTCTACGCGCGGGTCACAGGTGTGCGTCACCATGCCCAGTCATCTCTTCCCTTCCTACTCTGGCAGGTTCTATACAAGAACAGGACACATAACAGTGACAGTAAGCACTCACCTCTTGTTTCCACAGCCTGAATGCATTTTCTCACGAAGTTGAACCCTGCTTCATTTAAGTACACTGACGGTAAGAGAAAGTCAAGTTAGGTGCTGATGTGAAGCGGCAGTTCCCCCGTTAGCTGGCTTGGAGCAGCACAGAGCTTACGACTGAATCTATCAAATTTTTGGCTAGAGTCTAACAACTTCTTTTTGAGGTAAATGTAGAATAGGAGTTCACACTCACATTACTATACCTATGAGCTTATTAACAGGCATAGGACCTTCAAAGAAAGCATGTTATAGCGATCCCATTTACTTCCCGTTACAAAAGTCCATGCTAGAAGACTAAGCCTTTATGTTGGGTGGAAAGTGATAGTCAAACCCGTGGCTTTTGTGTTCCTATAGGATTGTAAACAAGCACCGTCAGGGTCTTCAGTTGCTAAAAATTTCCCCTTTCTCTGTCCTAAGCTCTGAGTTAGATTTTAACCAGGTTTCCTGAGGTTCTTTGGAGGACATTCTGTTTCATATTCCCAGTAATCTAGCACATGCTTATTTAGTGCACTAAGACTCCCCCCAATTCTACATTATGAAACAGCAAATTATTTTCATTTTTTTTCTAGAGTTTCTTTAAATTGATGTTAATTTTTTTAAGGCTGTAGGGCCAGAACAAAATTAGATTACCTACATAAGGAAAAAGATTTTAAGAATACAAAGTGACATCTGGATGAAAAACTTGAAAATCTCTTATACTATAAGGAAAAATTTCATCATGTGATAACATTTTCAATATTCTTCAATAACTACAAATGAAGATAATTCAAACCAATAAAATTTAAAACTGATTTCCCTTCAAAAATTGTGACTTACACATAGATCCACAGAGAAAAAGCACATACCAAGACAATCAAGAAAAACTACTAACAGACTAAAATCTTGGGAAACAATCTTAGACATAGGATGCCAATAAAGGTGGAATGATTAACAAAATACAAGAGGTAGCAACACAGGAGGGTCTTTATTATGTGTGGTTAGGGAAAATGAGTGACTGACAAGACCAGGGGGCCGATATTCTTAAAACATGAACACTTGAGTGTACAATTATTTTAACTATTCTAGGAAAAAACTTCACAAAGTTGGAGGCAAACTGTTGATAAGAAGATGCAGGTTGAAGGCAGAAGCTGTCATTTTATTCACTAGACCAGGAATCACACGATTCCAAAATTTGAGTAGTAAGATATGTATTCAGTACTTTAAACACAGCATCAGTGACCCAGAAATAACACCGTCCAAGCTAAGACATGTGCGGCTGCTGTAGGAAGGAGCTGGCTGTTGCTTAGCTTCTGTGTCCCACATCAAGAGCACAAAGCACAGTGGGCCTTCCAGTGAGCTCAGCGCGCACGAGGAATGGGGGTAAGGAGGAGAAGGAGCTCCACTGAGCTCCTGCGGAAACGCAGCCCCTCGACACTGAGGCAGGACCGGTCACCTCCAGCAACCCCAAGCATAATATACATCCAGACATTCAGAAATATTTGTTAAGTACAGGAAACAGGTACGATGGAAAGGTAAAAAGTCATTTATTCATTTTTGTTTTTAACAACAAAAACAATGCAAGCCTAAGTAAAAATAAAGACACCAGCATTTCCGTATCAATTAGCATTGCAAGTTCCTGCCACTTGGAATGTTTGACACTGAAGATCAAGAACAGTGTTCAGCTTTTCAATTAAAAAAAGATTTATTAAGATGAAAACAAGACTATTAAAAAACTTTTCAATAAACTAGACTTTGGAAAGATATTGTGATATATAAGAACAGAATTTGTTTCTTCAATATTCATTTTCAGACAAATAGGCAATACTCGGGCTATATTTCTAAGGCATACTGAGATGTTGGTAGCATACTCCTGCCTGTGCTAATAAACTGATCTCCAGGCTCAATGTGGGGTACAACCTTCCTGGGCCAGCCGCAAGGTTATTCTGAGGCGCAGCCTCCTGATGGATTCCATCTGTTCACAGCTCTTTTCCCATGAGTAAATCTAATCTGATCAATCAGTGCAGAGATGTTGAGAACATGTTTCAAAAAAATCTGCTTTTCTGTTGCTTTCAACCATCCTTTGCTTTGTCAGAAAGACAAGGGTTGTGTGGTTCAGAGGGAGCGCAGCTGTGTTAGGACCAGGTGGGCCTAGGTAGGTCCTAGCTTCAGCACGACACTGGAGGAAGGGCAGTGTGCCACTAACTTTCAAGAAATGTGGCAAGTGGGAAAATATACCTTAAAGAGTCATAATAAGGTGGGAAAAAAGCCATGAAACACCAAAGAGTGCCCAACCATGGGGAAAACAAGAAAAATGTGAACTTTCTTCACTCTTCGCTCCTGCCTGTACTTCCTAGCTGGATGAGGAAAACAGGAAGAAAGAAAAGATAAAAGCCAAACATTAGCTCTAATCTGATGAGACTGCATTCTCCCTCTCAAAAGCTGTATCACCAAGCATAACTTTTCTTTTTTTTTTGTACTTAGTACAGGATCTACAGGGTCTCACTACACAGACTGGACTCGTAGTGATTCTCCGGTGTTCAGCCTCTCAAGTGCTGGGATTATAGGCACGCGCCACCATGCCCAGTCTCCATCAATGTCTCAGCACACCCTAGGGTGGCACAGCATGCTGGGGATCGAACCCTGGCTGCTGCGCTCTGCCTAAGCAGGCGCTTTAGTCCACCGGGACCACCAAGCATAACTTTCAAATGTGTGCCTCAGTTTTCCCTTCTGCAAAATAAGGGTAAAAGGAGCCTCCCCCTTACAGAGCTGTCTGAAGATGAAATAAGTGAATATTTACAAGGTTCCAACATTAAATGGGAGGCCCTGTTCCCTCAGCGGGGCTCTGACATGGGAGCCGGGCATTACCTCGCGTTCTGATACATTCCCCCCAGGTCCACAAACCGCGGTGAGCAGACACATCCGCCCACCGGAACCAGACACTGCAGCAGATGAGCAGTGCTGTGCTCCCGTAGTTGGTGCCTGTTCCTGGGCAAAAATTCTATTTCTCATCAACCATGAAGACAGACTTGGTCACGTGATCTGTGCTACACCATGAATAAGACATATATCACCACCAGAGCACTGCGAGCCTGGAGTCGGCAGCTTCTATTTGCTTTTTCTCTGGCCCTACGAGGTACACAGCGACATGGAAAGTCTCTCTATCAACTGGAGCTTCAGAGCAGGAGTGGGAGTCCGAGGACCTGCACAGATGCATCTTGCACAGGAAATGCATCCCCACCACGGGAGGAGCTCGGAACTGAGCTCTGCTGCCACGGGTGAATCCAGTCAGGGCTAAGGTAATTACGCATAACTTAACCAGTTTGCTGGGGCAGCCAGGATGCAGGAAAATAAAATGAATCCCAATTAGTTTTTCCTTCTTAAAGTTGAAAGTCTCCCTTTTTGACCCCTCTTCTTGTCAATTCACATAGCAAAGGCACGCAGAGCAGCAGCAGCACCCGTGCGTGGCTGCTGTGCACAGTGCGACTCAGTGGGATCCGCACCACCCAGCACTCCAGCTCAGTCTGAGAAGTGGACACGGGCTCAGTGTATCCCCAGTGATGTGGCAGAAGGAGCAGCCATAGGACTGTCATTTCTAAGTGCAAACACATTGTGCAGTGGAAAACAAGCAATTTTAAGAAGGCATGAGTGGCTACCACGCTTATTATATATGTCTAATGAAGACTGAACTAAAATAGGTTTTCTGTAGTTTAAATAAAAAAAGATTACTCCTTATGTTCAGATGAGATGTCAGTGGAAAAGGTTATTATGACATCAGAGTGCACCACTAAATTGTGACATTTCACGATAATTCTCCTTCAGTGGAAGACAAACCCCTCCTGCAGTGGCTGTGGAGAAGAGGGGGTCTGTATGCGTACACAGCGGCAACGTAGTGCTGAATCGAGGCACACCACCTCTCCCAGAGCAAGCAGGGAGGAAATGTCCCAGATGGATGGCTTCTACCGCGCTTGCTCAGATGCGTTCTCTGATGCCTACTACACGGTTAGGATGCATGAGCTAACGGGAGCTGCTTTTGTGCGCACCTCCCCAGGCCCGGCGTGACTCTCAGCGCTGCATCGCCCATGCGGGAGAAGGCTACCCAGAAGCCAACAACTACTAAATCCCCAGGAACAAACTCTGTAATATTAGTGGCACTTGGCCTTCAGTGCTAGGAGCAGAGAGCAGAATAACTCAATGAATTTAATTTTTCAATCAAAAGTTAAATTTAAATAGTTGCCACCTTCCCCACTCTGGAAACTGTTCAGGGCTAAAGCTTTTATTGAAGCCCAAATAAACTTTAAGGCAGTTTAGCAGCACAAAAGCTATTACTCTCAAGAGAATTCAAGCAGCCATGAGGACAACAAAAGGAACAGTCTTTCACAGTGCTGGCGAGGCAAAAAGACCTTGTCATTTCAATTTCCCACTAATGCAAATCCCAGCACAGACGGACCGTATGTGGACTTACACTACATTCTCAGGGTTAGCAACACAAAGCAACACTTGCCTCTAATTTCATTTTCACTTTGTGATCTGCCATTGTAGGTTACACAGGTTACACACTATATGTGGTTTGAAAGAAAAGGAAAAAAGAAATGAGTGGATTTATTAGCATTCATGATACCCACTGGTCCTGGCCTCTTCTTCCTGAAGGATGAACAGTCTCTCACACTGCTTTGCACATAAAGAGGCTTGGGCTATGGCCCTCCTTGATGAAAACAAAATCCCACTTGATCACAGTCTAAGGGAGGATGAGATAAAGGGCGGTGTTGCACAGATGCCGGAGAGCTCCCGAGTGAAACCCACAGCACCGTGAGCTCAGGACCGCGCGTGACAGGTGGAGACTGGGCGCTCGAGAGAAAGGGCGTGAGAGAAAGGAGCTCCGCTCTTCTGCTTACTGCTGGGAAGAATATGTCTGCTAGTCACAGGACAAGCCATGAAAACAGGGCCAAAACTGAAAGTTGACTGGAAGCTTTACAGTTAGCATCTCTAATCCCTGGGATTTCGCATGAGGTCCTTTAGGTCACCTTCTCTTTGCAGAATTACTGAGTGGCTTTTATGAGTGAAATGTCCTTTAAAAGAACTTTTCAAGTTTTATTCACATTTCTTAGATATTATAGCATTATAGTTTCGAGTTTTAAATTTCATTATCCTTAGCAGCTCTCAAAAAAACCACATATCATGAAAAACTGAGTTCTAAAAGGACAGTAACAATATTTTAGTATAAAAAGAATCCATCTAAATTACAGAGGCTATAAACAAGCACTCTTTAGCTGGCATAGGGGCCACAGTGAGTATTCTCTGCAAGTGCCAAGCATGAGAGGAATTACATACTGAAACTGACATAGCAACACCGCTCGAGGGGGCCAGGAGCCAAATAAAAATGGACACAAGACGATACCTAGAAGCCTAGTAGATGAATTGTAAGAAGAGAAATTTCTCCAAACCTATAAAGAGCTCAGATGACTTTTAAGAGGTAAAATAATAACAGAATCACTGGAATTCACTTTTGAACTAACACAAGAATTTCAACGCTTGTATACAATAAACTAATCAAGAATAAAAGGTAAGAGCCAAGGATATAGCTCAGTGGCATAAGTGCCTGCCTGCTAAGCACAAGGTCCTGAGTTTGATCCCCGGCACTGAAAATAAATAAATAAATAAATAAATAGCAGCAAAAAAAAAAGTGGTAGATAATTGCAGGGGACCTAGAATATGAGGAAAAACACATGGACTATGTTTCTAAAGATTGGTATGAACGCAATGACCCAGGAATGATCCAGTGAGACGTTTTCCTACATGTACCATGTGCCAAAACAGTAGGATGTCTTGTACTTCTGAGAAAACTGGGCCAGGCAAAATAAGATAAACGAGTCCTCCACTGCCATAAAAATATCGAAGAGCACATGAATTGCTTTAAATCTTTATCAAGGACAAGGCAGTACTACAGACATGAGAAAAGTGAACAGAAGCCAAAGAAGTAAAAAGTACTCTGGTAGTTGCATGTGGGATGTAGGCTGTGGTTTTCCCATGGAAACCTTCATTGACTCACAACTTCAAATTAGCTGGAACATTTGATCAGTGGTGTGTTTGTACTGCTTCCCTGCAGTGAATACTTAATATCACGTAATACTTTTGCAATACAAATAACTATGAATTACAATTTCAAACAATTTAAACATAACCAGCTCGGGCCCACAATAGAGAGCACAACCTCAGCTGTTTCCAGTCCCCTAAGGGGGTTGGGGTTCTTAGACTACTGGCGCTTGACCTAGGCGTGGCCGGCTGTGCCACTTCTGGGGAGCCTAGGGTACTGCACACTGCACAGTAGGTGCAGGTTACCAACACAGAGCCAGCTGTCTCGGACCCCAGGAGCGGTGCCTCTCTACCTGACCAACGTTAGAAAGGGGCATCCCTGACTGTGGTGCAGATGGAAACACGCTCAATCCTACTTAGTTCTACAGCCTGCAAAGTGGCCACTAAGGATTAGGTGTTGAAGTGTTCACCCAGCTTTGTTTAGGAGAGGTGAAGGTATACTTCACCAGTCAGAGTCGACTCTAGATTTCAGCATGTTTCTTCTATTGTTTCTGTTAGGAAATGTAAACTTCCGTTTTACTTTTGGCTTGCTCCAAGGAGTAAACCAAAAGGTAGAAAGGATTATTTCTGATTAATAGCAGAACCTGTTTCCAACTCAAATATACAAGGTCTTAATTCAAAAGCCAGAAACTGTTCATATCAATCAGAAATTTTAAAGGGAAAATAAATCACTTACTTTCTTCCTTCTTGCTAATGATGGCAGGCAGCGTATAAATCTAAAACACAAAGGCGTCCATCAGTTCTTTTCAATCAATAACTGAGCACAGAAGATGGGCAAGGGGATGTTTGTAAAGTGAACACAGGGGGTGGGGCTGATCTCAGGGTCTCCCAGTCGTTGTGCCCACAATACCACTTGTCCACCCTGCCTTGCGACTCCCTTCCTGCACTGAGGCCCCCTGCCTCCCGCCACCCCTGGTAGTCCTGCCCTGGCCAACCTCCCCGACCGCTGGATTTGAGGGTCTTATTCTCTTCCCCACCATGCTACATATTGTATGTTCCTTAAGCGCTGCACGATGAATTCCAGCTGGCTGTTCCTTCCTCAAATTACCCAGTGCATGCTCTGTTTTCAGTGTGCATAACCCTAACCTGTACCTTGTTGCACTAACAAATTGTTCCTAAAACGTCTCTAGGTCAAGACTTCATCATTGTGGTGAGGAGCCAAGTGTTTGCTATGTTTTCTTTTGTTTTTAAACCTGTCATCGGTTGGCATTTTATAAACCACAGTAGGGCCAGAGCGATAGCTCAGTAGCTTACGTGTCTGCCTGGCAAGTGCAAGGTCCTGAGTTCAATCCTTGGTACCAAAAAATAAATAAAATCACAGTAAGATTGAAACAAAAAATGATACAAAAATAGATGTAGAGTCCCAATGTTTTATTATTAAATTTATCAGATGTACCATGCGGCTAGAAAACGCTGTAGTAAGGGTTAACCCTAACTGCTGTATGTAGCTTACTGTGTGGTGGGGGTGGGGCCTGAGGGCGGCCTCCATGTGCTAACTTCAGTCGTGCTGCTGTCCCACAGGCACATGAGACGGCTGGGGGCTGCTCACGGGCCTCTGCTGCTGTGGGGGAGTCTAAACAGGGCAGCACATCCTGCTCACTGTGCTTGCTTGGCCCTCTCTGATCAAGCAACCGTGCTAATAAAATAAGCAGAGATGAACTACACCTCCCCAGTATTATCAAGGAAATCATCATCCTGACATCAAAGTAGCCAACAGCAAATGAGGAGGGAAAAATGCCCCAGCAGAGCTTTACCAAGGTAGACTGCCTTACACAGTGGCCCAGGCTACAGGACCAGTCCACACCCCGAACTCTGTTCTTTCCTCCCTCACAACCTCTAGCACAGGGCTTGCAAAAACCGGGCATGTACTAATACGAATTGAACAAAAGGACATAAACCATGCAGCCAGCTAATGAAGATAAGATTTTAAATAGTAGTCTCAGGGTTTTAAGTTAGTCCTAGAAAACTAAATCAGAAAACAGAAATCCTGTGCCAGGGTCTAGGACATCGCTAGGAAACCAGTCTACATCCCTGCTCTTCTGATTCACTATTTTAATGTTTTCAGTTGCACTACAGTCATACGACAGAAGTTTCAGATGTGCTTTGGGATTTTTAGAGCACTAAGACAGAGGTTACAGGACGTGTCGCCTGCTTACCGGTTCCTTCCCGTCCATGGCTTCCAGCCAGAGCTTCCTATTTGCTTCCGAGAAGGCTTGTAACGTGATGATCCCGTGCCTGTGCAAGCCAAACATGCTGCATGTTAAATGTAGCCTTGCCACGTCTGCCAACATTTACTAATTCTTCAGGTCTTAGTTAGTTACAAAGGTAAAATTTGAAGGAAAAAAAAAAAGAAAAAAGGAGAAAAAAGTATAAATCTAAAAAAAAAAAACTTTGACCTATAAGTACTATTTAGAAAAATCACCATGGATGATTTACATGTTTGTAACTCTGATTATGGGTAATAAGGCCACTGTGTCTTTAGTACAAGACTGTTAGGGGAAGCTGGCTTCACACTATGTCTTCTGGGATGGTCAAAAGAGGGGCAAAAATACACACACAAAATCTAAAGTGTCCTAAAGATTCCACAGGATAAGAATGACTGCTTTGATTCTGATTTGGTAAAATCTGGTCAACTAAAGAGAATTCTGATGAGTACACAGCAGTGTGGGAAGCCTCAGACCAAAATTAGTAACTAAATACTAAGCAAACAATAAGCAGTACTGAATAATAAAGATGATACTAACCCACAGCATTTCTTTATATCATTATCACAATATTAAAACTAATTTAAAATAATTTTCTTCCATGAGGCATTGTGAAATAGTCATTTAAGGATGTACTTTCAAAGAGAGCACGGGGAAGAGACCAACATAACAAAGAAAAAGGCAGAAATCTTAGGAATTAATCTCATTAAACAGGAAATGAGGCTCTGAAGAGGAATGGAGAGAAGAAAATTTCATTGCAAGTGTTGCACGATCAAAACGTGGAGGGCTTTCGGCAGATGCTGGTGCATGTCTTTTCTGTCAGTAAGAAAGGCACTGGGGTGCACTTTGCGCTGGGCCCGACTCCAGCAGGGGCATCACGTGGGGAGATGCGGGCCGGGCACGGGAGAGAAGGGAAGAGAAAGGAGAGGAACGCGATGAAGCTGCGGCGGACAGAGGTGTCGACTCCCCACAGGGAATGCGAACGCGTACATCACACACATGTACTAGTATGCAAAAACAAAAAGTAGAAGCTATCACTGGAATGATAGGAAAGGAGACGTGCGCACAGAGATGAAGACAATTTGATGCTGGAGATTTAAGCCAGTGCAGTAGCACCAACAGCAACACAGTTATGACAGCCAACACTTGTCAGTTATTCACATTTTGCTGTGGATGTGTCAGGCACTGTGTCACTTTCGCTACCTCATTTAATACTCATGAGAAGTCAGGAGGATTTTCTCTATAGCTGATATAAAAAAAGCATAGTTTGCTGGGCAGACAACATGCCTACAATTCCAGCACTTAGGAGGCTGAGGCAGGAGGACTTTCATGCATTCAAGGCCAACCTAGGCTATAGAAAGGAGTTCAAAGCCAGCCTGCACTACATAGTGAGGCAGTTTTTTTTTTTTTTTTTAAAGCACAGAGTTCAACAATATGTCCCAAGGATATAGTATAACAAGTATATGCTGAAATAAAACAAACAAAAAAAATAGTAAGCTGTTGATATATATCTATATACAAAGTCCATAGTCTTTACCATAAAACTAACAGGAAGTTCAGCAAATATGCTGGGTATGAAATTGATATAATCTCAATCATTTAGGAAAA